TACCACTGAACTACACTCTCAGCCCTGAGCATTTCTTAAATGTGCTATTTTCACATTGTTGAATTCTAACAGTTCTTTATATACTCTGGATATAAATCCTTTACCAGATGTGTGATTTATAAATATTTTCTATCAGTCGAGAACAGCTTTCTACTTAATAATTCAGAACTGAAAAAAACACCCTAATGGCTATTAGTAGAAAATGAATAAACTATGGTATACTGACACAACAGAATGTCACACGGTAATAAAGAAATTACTGACACACACAAAAACATGGATGAATTTATCTGACATAAAACTGCGCAAAATTAACACTAGAAGAAACTACACTAAAAACGTGTGGCTTTACAGGTCTTTTATATGATGAAATATGCCAACTATATATAAATAACACTACCTCAACATTGATTTCTTTGTGGGGGACAGTAATGGGGTTTGAACTCAGGGCTTCACATTTGTAAAGCAGGCTCTACTTGAGCCACACCTCCAGTCCATTTTGCTCTGACTATTTTGGAAATGGGTCTCTTGAACTATTTGCCCTGGCTGGCCTCAAACCGCAATCCTCCCGATCTCAGCCTCCCAAGTAGCTAGGATTACAGGTATGAGCCATAGTGCCCAACTCAAGACTTCATTAGTTTTACATGCACATGTTTGTGTGTGCCTCTGTGTGTAGATCAGACCAGAAATACCAAACAGTTCCATCACAGGATTTTTTTTTTTTAGTGAAAGTATAGTTTATTAACCATAGTAAAGTTTATACAGAAAGGCACTTTCAGAGGTGAAAGTGGGTCAGCTCAGAGAGGTGGAAAATGACCCCACCACAGGACTTCTTGTGTTACTGTTTTACATCTATACCCACTTGTCTCCACCTACCCCAGTTCCTAAGCCCTGGCAACCAGTAGTATGTTCTCAATTTCTATAATTTTGCCATTTCAAAAATGATGCAGAAATGGAATCATATAGTACATAACCATTTCATACTGACTTTATTACCTGACCATAACTTTTGAGGTATATAAAAATCACATGTATCAATGGTTCACTTCTTTTTACTGCTGAATAATATATTCCATTCATAGAATGTTTTGGAGAAACTAAGTTAAAAATACTTACCAGCCTCTGAATCCTCATCTGCCATTTCTTAGGAATTTGAAACACTAATCAAAGCATTAGAGTAATCTACAAACAAAAAAGTTCCAAGGGTTGAGCATGGTGGTGCCAAGTCTGTAATGCCAGCTACTCAGGAGACAAAGATTGGAGGATCACAGCTGGAAACTCCTAGCTTCCCCTCCAAAAAAAGTTATCAAAACCCTATCTGAACAAAATAAGCCAGGTGTGGTGGCTTACACCTGTAGAATCCCAGCTGCGGAGAAGTGTGGGTAGAAGGCTCATAATCCAAGGCCAGCCCAGACAAAAACACAAGACCCTATCTGAAAAATAACTAAGCAAAAAGGGCTGATGAGTGGATCCAGCATGAAGCTGAGTTCAAACCCCTATACCACCAAAACAAACAAACAAAAAAACACACGATTTTGATGATCTACCTTACTTCTCTTTCGCTGTTGTTGTTATTGTTTTTTTGTCACAGGGTCCTACTATGAGTCCAGGCTAGCTTTAAACTCACAATCCTCTTGCCTCTGCTTTCTGAGTGCTGGGAATACCATGCCTGGCCTCCACCTCACTCTTGTTTTGTATATCCCATCTATATATTATTTGAAGAACATGGCTCCCTAGCATTCCTGAAGATCTGTATTTCCATGTGACTTTCAACTTATAAAACAGCTGCTGAAATTTTAACAATTTACCCACCATTTGACTATTTGAACCCATACGAAAATGACAGCTTATTTAGCTTGATTAACGACAATTAAAAAGCTAAACAACCAGACACAGAAAGACAGATACTGCATGTTCTCATTCATATATAAAAGCTAAAAATGTTGATCACACAGAAGAGAGTACAAGAGCGGTTACAAGAAGCTACAGAGGGATATGGAGGATAGAAGAAGACTGGCTACTGGGTACCAAAATATAGTTACAAAGGAGTTAGTGTTCGATAGCACAGCAGGGGAACTACAGTTTTCAATAATTTATTGTACATTTAATAAAGATCTGGAAGACAGGAGTCTAAGGGTCCCAACAAAGAAATGATAAATGTCGAAGGAGAAGAAAATGCTGATTACCCTGTTTTGATCATTTATCATTGTATCCATATATCAAACTATCATACTGTGCACCAGAACAAATATTTTCTCAATTAAAAAGAAATAGCTGAATGACATTCTTATAGTATTCTTAAGTAGGTAGGAGAAAAATTAAAATTGATCAATCTGGCCTGACAGTTTCTGTCTACATGTAACCTGATAACTTGCTTTTGAAGTGATAAAAATAATTAATAAACATTCTAAATCAACTAGTGTGCCAAGCTATAAGTCCTACAGAATTATTTTATATATGTAAACTAACTTATTTTTACTCAAGTACATATAATAAATTTAGTTAAATTTGAGAAATCACTATTCAGCAGATTTAAATAAAGACCAGTATGGCTTTGGAGATGTAAATTTCAATTAAAAATAATTTCAGATATGTCAGGCGCCAGTGGCTCATGCCTGTAATCCTAGCTACTTAGGAGGCAGAGATCAGGAAGATTGAGGTTCAAAGCCAGCCAGAGAAAACAGTTTGTGGAACCCTATTTTGAAAAAACCCATCACAAAAAAAAAGGGGGCTGGTAGAGTGGCTCAGGGCATAGGTCCTGAGTTCAAACCTCAATACTGAAAAAAAAAAAGAAGAATTTCAGATAAATATACAAATGTCTTTTTAAAACTTTAAAGAAAAAGTGACTGCAACATCCTTTAAAATAAAGAAAGAGCCTGGTTAACAAAAAATTCATAAGCTTAATTATTTACCAAATTTCAGTTCAACATGATGAAAAACACTGTCAAACTTGTAAGCTATGTTTATAAAGAAAAAGTCAATTCATTTCTTAAAGAAATTTTGCTATACTGTAAACATCCAGAACTTTAAAAAAGATAAATCCAGCATGGAGCTGATGGCTCACACATGTAATCGTAGCTGAGATTGGGAGGATGGAGATTCAAGTCCAGGCTGGGAAATAGTTTTGAGAGATCCCATCTCTAAAATAACCAGAGCAAAGTGAACTGAAGGTGTGGCTCAAGTGGTAGAGTGCCAGCTTTACAAGTACAAAGTCCTGAGTTCAAACCTCAATTTCCCTCTAGTTCAAAAAAATAAATCCAAATACCTGATTTCAGCATCATGGGCACAGTCAATTTGAAGAGCTGATGAAAAATCTAATTGTTCCATTCTTGGATTTGATAAATATAATTCTTGATCTGTACTGAACACTAGCTTCTAGGTGTTTTTTCTAACCTGATCCTTCAGGTCAATGACATGTAGCTTTGACTATCTTCTGACAATGTAGCAAAATATATTCCAATGAAGGGTTTGGCCTGGTGACTATCTTCAGTCCAGAAAACTGAGCAATCACAATAAGGAAATGAAGGAAGAACAAGTCATACGTTCTGAAGACCAGTTTCTTAATAATCGTATGACCATCATTTTTATATTGAAATTTAGAAGACTAACCTCAGGAGGCAGAGATCAGGAGCATCACGGTTCAAGGCCAGTCCAGGCAAAAAATGAGAACCTATCTCAAAAATACGCAACACAAAAAAGGGCTGAAGAAGTGGCTCAAGTGCTAGAGTGTAGCAAGTGTGAGGCCCTGAGTTCAAACTCCAGTACCACCAAAAAATAAGACTAATATTAAGGATAAAATCTACAAGTTAAATATTTAGCTCTTTAAATCATCACATACAGGTGCAGTTTATGATATTATCATAGACTGCCTTATTGAGACAATGGTAAATTACCAACTGAACTGTCTTTTAACAAAAAAAGTCTTGAAAATAGAATACAAATTAACTTAACTAGAAAAATAAAATTGATCAAGGATTCCAGTTCAAGTCCAGCCTGGGCAAAAAGTTAGCAAGACTCCATTTCAATAAACAAGCTAGGTACAATGGTTTATACCTAATCCCAGCTCTGTGAGAGGTGTAGGTACAAGGATCACAGTCTGAAGTTGGCCCCAGGCAAAAATACAATACCCTAACCAAAAATAACTAAAGCAAAAAGAAGGTTGGTGGTGTGGCTTAAGTGGTAGAGCACCTGCCTAGCAAGTGTGAGACCTTGAGTTCAAGCCTCAGTACCACCACCAAAAAACCCTAAAAAAATCTAAACTGAGTGTGGTCACAGGTCTTATAATCCCAGTACTTGAAAAGCTGAGGCAGGAGGGACATGAGTTTGACAGCAGTATGAGGTACATAATAAGACCCTGTGTGGCGGGGGGAAGCGTCTACAATTTTAAATCCTTGAAGATGCTTTTTCTATTATTTCTATTGTTTCAAATTGCACTCCACTATGTGAAGAATGTAGGGTTCAAAGCTTATCTAACTGCTTACAGGAAATACCATTCCAAATGAGTCAGAAATGTATTCAGGCTATGACACATTAAATGCAATTAGGATGCCACTAGATAATGTTTACTAGAAACTAAACGCTGACTAGGTGATCTCTCTTCATTGCATAATTTCCTAGCCCTTGTTTCCCCTGCTACAAATGTTACATCCTGGGTTGAGGATGTAGCTCTAGCATGTGCAAAGCCCTGGGGGCTCAGCAGCCAGCACTGAGGAAAAAAAAAAAGGGAATCTCATTCTTATTAACTCAGGTGCAATTTTCTAGCAGCTAATGACAAGAAATATCTTCTCTTAAAGATTTTTATTAGTAAACATAAGAAGCAGTATGGTATACTAGTAGCTAAAACTGTGGACTTTGAACTACATTCAAACCACAAACTAGCTACATGATCAGGAGTAAATTACTTAACTTCTCTATATATTAATTCCATGATCTGTAAAATGAGGACATTAAGTGCCCACTTCACAGTGCAGTTTTGAGGATTAAATAGACAAAATACTTACCGATGATAGGCTTCTCGCCGATACTTTTTTAGAGCATGCTTATCCATGTTTGCAGGCATATCTGCTGCATTCTGTAATCGATCACTCCATGAGGTTGTCATTTTATTTGTGTGCTGAATTCTAGAAATGAAAAATCAGCAACAGTTTAAGATTAAGTGTCAGTGTATTAATGAATACTTGTACTATTTCTACCTTTGGCTATTGTCAATATTGTGAATATGCACAAAGTACATGTATGTACTGAATATGTACAAAGTACTCAGTTGAGTACCAGTTTTCAATTCTTTTGGCTATATATAATGAGGTTTGTAACAGTTTTTAAGTAATCAAGATTTCTGAACACTATATAGAACAAAAGTACTGGCACTTGCAAAGAATTCTAGTTAAATTTTTATTAAAGTAAAAAATTAACTTGAGCAGTTATTTGCTAGACTGCTATAATTGAAACTACAAGGGCAGGAGGCGTGGCTCAAGTGGAAGAGTGCTTACCTAGCAAGCACAAGACCCTGAGGTTCTAAACCAGTACTGCTCAAAAAAAAATTAAATAATGGAGACTACATATAATATAGTATATCCAACATACTATATATACTATACTACATAATACCATATATATACTATAAAAACTACCCTCAAATCTATATAGTATATGAACTCTATAATATCCATTTGTATAGTATATAGATATGAGGGTAGGATTTTTTTCCATAAAGAAAATTACTGGAAAGGACATAAGGAAAGGGTGAATATGGTGGAAATACTATGTATTCATGTATGAAAATGGAAAAATGAGACTTGAACTATTCCAGGGATGGGGAGGGGGATAAAGGAGAATGATGGAGAGGGTGAATTCAACTATGACATATTGCAAGAACTTTTGTAAACGTCACAATGTACCCCCAGTACAATAATATAATTTTTAAAAATTAAAAAAAAAATTCATGTAGCAAATCTAGACCATTCTGTGGATTAGAAAAATGGAGAAAATTTGAAAGTATAGAATTATAATTGAATCTCAATGAACTGAATCTACTTTATAGAAACATAATTGAATCTACTTTATAGAAACATAAATTTTATACAGAACTACATTTTATAGAAATAAGAATCAGAAATGAAATTGGTAAACTGATGAGTTAAGAAAAATCAAAAGTCAATCTATTAAAAACTTTAGGCTAGAGGGGTGGCTCAAAGCAGCAGAGTGCCTGCCTAGCAAATGAGAATCCCAGATTTCAAACCTCAGCACCACCAAAAAACAAAAAAAAAAAAAAAAAAAGATTTCAACATGAGTTCTACATTAATGCACAGAAAATAAAAGTTGTTTGTTTTTAAGGCCTTGGGAACCTCCTTATTATTTTTAAACACTTACAATCTGGGCTGGGGTTATAACTCAAAGGTAAAGTTCATGCTGAGCATGTATAAGGCTGGGTTGGATCCCTACCACCAAAGCAAATAGCAAAAAGAGACCAATCTACAATTTTAGCCAGAAATCTCAAAAATCTCTCAAATCTGAGAGATAGCACATCGGTAAGAGAAGACTTGACCCGAACTTTCAACCAACTTTACCCAACTGACATTTATAGAACAGTCCACCCAAAAACTGTACAATGTATTCTTTTCACATGCCCATGGAATCTTTACCAAAATAGATTATATTCTGGGTCACAGAAACAGGCCTCAAAAAATTCAAAAGGGCCAGGCATGGTGACCCAAAATAATTTCAAAATTCCAGCTACTCCAGAGGCAGAGGCAGAGGATCACCTAAGGCAGGCCCTGGCAAAAGCACAAGAGCTTACCTGAAAAACAAACTATAAGAAAAAGGACAAGCATGAATCAAGTAGTAGAGCAATGAGGACTTGAATTCAATCTCTAGTACCACCAAAAAAAGAGAGACAAAGGAGGGCATTACATATTGACAAAACGGTTAATTTACCAAGAATTAGAAATACATACCTAGTAGAAGAGCCCCCAAAAGGTATGAAGCAAGCACTGACAGAATTAAAGGGAGAAGCAGACAGTTCTAGAGTAAAAGCAATAGCTGAGTGCCTCAATAACTTACTTCCAATGATAGGTAGAACACTGAAGACTGAAGATCAATAAGGATAAAAAGGGCTTAAACCAACTATACCCCCACTACACACACACACACACACACACACACACACACACACGACACTCCACCCAACAAATACACATTCTTCTCAACTGCACATTGAACATTATTATCTAGAATAGATCATATGTTCTACTACAAAATAAGTCTCAACATATGTTAAAAACTAAACCATAACAATCTATCTCCTGAAATCACAATGCAATGAAGTTAAGAATCAATGAGACAGAAAATATAAAATTCATCAATGTATGAAAATTAAACAATACTCTCTTAAGAAATGAGTCAAAGAGGAAATCACAAGGGAAACTAGAAAATAAGATACAAATGAAACAAACATAACATACCAAAACTTACCAGTTACAGCAAAGGGAATGCTCAAAGAGAAACTTTTAGCAGTAAATGTTTATATTAAAAAAGGAACATGTCAAATCAATAAATATCTTACTTTGTAACTTGAGGAAGTACAAAAAAGATGAGCAAACTGAAGTGAAAGCCAATAGAAGGAAGGAAACAATACAGTAGAGCAGAAATAAATAAAATAGAGCATAAAAAACAATAGATGATATCAATGAAACCAAAAGTTGGTTCTTTGAGGTTACTAATAAAATTGACAATTTTTTCCTAGACTGACTGGGGTGGGGGGAGATAAGATACAAATAACTAGAATCAGATGAAAAGCAGGGACATTATTACAAACTGTATAGAAATAAAAAGCATTATAAGAGAATATTATGAACAACTACATGCTAACAAATTAGATAACCTAGATGAAATGCACAAAAACCTAACAACAAATTATCTAAACTGATTCAAAAAGAAATAGAAAATCTTGACAGGCTGGTAACAAGTAAAAGAAATTGAACCAATAATCAAAAACCTTCCAACAAAGAAAGGTACAGGGCTAGAATGGCTTCATTCGTGAATTACACTTAACATCTAAAGAACATAGAACACCAATCCTCTCAAATCTGCAAAAAAACAAAGAAGGATCACTTCCTAATGATTCCAATCATTCCTAATGATATGATTCCAGCATTACTCTGATTCTAAAGCTAGATAAGGATACCACAAAATAATCACAGATCAATACCCTTTATGCATATTGATGCAAAAGTCCTTAATCAACTACTAGCAAAGCATATCCATCAACACAGTAAGATTATACATCATGAGCAACTGAGGTTTATCTTAGGAATGCAAGGGTTATTAAACATATCAAGAAAAAAACCACAATGTAATACATCATATTTATAGAACATAGGGAAAACACCTTATAATCAAATACCCTTTCATGATAAAAACTCAGAAAACTAGAAGCAGAAGGGAATTTGCTCAACATAATGGGTCATTTAAAAGAGCCTACAGATCACACCAGAAAATGGTGAAAGACTAAATGCTTTCTCCAAATGGGAAAAGCACAAGGATGCCTTCTTTCACGACTGCTGTCAATGCTGTACTGGAAGTTCTTGCCAGAGCAATCACACAAGAAATAAAAGGAATCCAAATTGGGAAAGAAGAAATACAACTATATTTACAGACAACATGATCTTAGGATCATGTAGGATACAGTAAAGCAAGACTTGGAAAGAAATTTATAGCATTGAACATCCATATTCATAAAACAGAAAGTAGCCAAAATAATGATCTAAGCTTCCATCCTAATAAATAAAAAAGTCAAAAGCAACTGATATCGAAAACAATGGGAGAAAGGAAATAATAAAGATCACAGTAAAAATAGAAATCAACTAAATAAAACATCAATGGGGAAATCAATGAAACCAAAAACTGGTTCTTTGCAAAGGTTCAAATTGATAAACCTTTAGCCAAACTGGAGGGTGGGGGCGAAAGGCACAAATTACCAATATCAGAAATGAGAAAAGTGATAGCACTATAGATTCTATACAATAAAGGAATAATAAGGGAATATTATAAAAACTAAATGGCCATAAATTCAGCAACCTACATTAATTCATGAAAAGACACTATTACATTTTACTCAAAAAGAAAGGTAATAGCTTAGTATCTGTTAAGGAACTAAAACTGCTATTTAAAACTTGCCCACAAAAGTCCTGATGGAGGGCTGGTGGAGTAGCTCAACTGTTAGAAGGCCTATCTAGCAAGCATTAGGCCCTAAGTTCAAACCCTAGTACTACCAAAAAAATAAAGGAAAAAAATATATACACATACATCAAGTCCTGATGATTTCACTAGGGAATTCTATCAACATTTAAGGATAAAGGAATTACAAATCCTAAACAAACTCTTCCCAAAAACTGAAGCAAAGGGAATATTTTCCAACTTTCTATGAAGGCCAGCATTTCTCTGGTACCAAAACCAGACAGACATGACAAAGAAAACAACAGGTCAATATTGCCAGTGATCTTGGATACACAAATTCTAAAACCTTTAGCTACTCTCATCCAATAACAAGTTAAAATATGTTATGACCAATACCATATATATTATATATGATAACCCCAGAAATGTAGTGATTTAAGTTTTATACTAATCAGTCATTATAATTCACCATACTAGTAGAAAACCATCTGATTAACTCTGTAAATACAAAAAAATTATATATCAAAATCCAATCCACGTTCTTCATAAAAACTCTCACCAAGGTATAGAGGTACAGCTACTCAAGCAGTAGAGCACATGCATAGCAAATGCTGGAGCCCTGAGTTTGAACCCTGGTACAAGGGGAAAAAACTCTCAACAAATGAAGAATAAAAAGGAACTTCTTCTTTCTCATAATGAAAAGCTACCAAAATACTACAGCTTACATTATACTAAAGGTGAAAGACTGAATGTTTCCCCTAAGTTCAGGAACAGACACTTACACTTTTACCACCTCTACTCAAAATAATACTGGGGTTCTATCACAGCTAGTATAAGCAGTTAAGTGAAAGATTAGAAAGGAAGAAGTAAAACTCTTTGTTTATAGATGGCATAATAATCTATGTGCAAAATCAGAATCTGCAAGAAGTTACTAGAACTAATTGAGTTTAATAACACTATTGGACACAAGATCGATATATAAAAATTAAATGAATTGCTACACATACTGCTTATGCAAACAACCCAAAATTTAAAACGATACATGTCATTTATAAAATAATTAAAATATGAATACTTAGAGGCAAATCTGACAAAACATGCACATAAGCTGTACACTGAAAATTATAAAGCATTTCTGAGTAAAATTAAAGAAGAGAATGGAAAGATATGTGGTGTTCATGGATGTTGGACCTAATATCATTAAGATGTCAGTTATCCTCAAAATCATTATAATCCTAATGAAAATTCCAGCAAGGTTTTTGTAGAAACTAACAATGTTATTATAAAATTCATACAGAAATGCAAAAGCTAGAATAACTAAAACAACTCTGAAAAAGAATAAATTTGGAAAACAAACCTGACTTTAAGAACTACTATAAAGCTACATAATTAAGACACTATAATACTGTCATAAAGACAAACAGATTGATGGAACAGAAAATTCAGAGATAGACATAAGAATATATGTATACTATTGATAAGTGAAAAGGCAATTCAGTGGAGAAAACTAATACTTTCAATGAATGGTACCAGAACAACTAGCTCTCTATTTATAGAGCTATACCTCTCACTACACATAAAATTTAAAATAGACCATGGATTTAAATATTAAATTTAAAACAATAAAACTTACAGAACACGGAAGAGAGTACCTGTATTACGAACTTTGGGTTAGTCAAAATTTCCTAGATCTGACATTAAAAGCACAATTGATTTAAAAAGCTGAAATATTAGATTATTAGATTTAATCAAAATTTAAAATTTTTACTCTTCAGAAGACACTATTAAGAAAATGAGGACAAGCAGTGCATGGTAGCACAAGCCTAAACCTCAACAGCTGGAGACTGAGGCAGGAAGATGGCAAATTCAAGCCAGGCTGGCTACATAGTGAAACCCTGTCTCAAAAAAAGAGCAGCAGCAGCAGCAGCTAGGCACAGTGATTCACATCTGCAATCCTAGCTACTCAGGAATCAGAGATCCAGAGGATCATGGTTAAAGGTGAGCCTGAGCAAAAAGTTGTGAGATCCCATGTTAACCAATAAAAAAAAAAAATGGGCATGTTGGTGCAAGCCTGTGATCCCAGCTATGCAAAGCATAAATAGGAGGATCTCAGCCCAGGTTAGCCTGGGCATAAACCCTATCTCAAAAATAAGGGATGAGGGCATAGCTAAAGTGGATGAATGCCTGGATAGCAAGCCCGTAGTTCTGAGTTCAAAACCAGTACAAAGAAGAGAAGAGAGAGAGAAAGAGAGACAGAGAGGGAAGGAGGAAAGGGAAAGGGAAAGGAAAGGAAGACAAAAATGAAGACAAAAGCCAGGTACCAGTGGCTCACACCTATAATCCTATCTACTTGGGAGGCAGAGATCAGGAGGGTTGTGGTTTGAAGCCAGTCCAGGCAAATAGTTAGTGAAACCCTATCCCCAAAATACCAACACAAAAAGGGCTGGAGGAGTGGCTCAAGTGGTAGGGTGCCTGCCTAGCAAGTCAGGCACCAGTGCTACAAAATAAAAATGATGAGGGCAAGCTAACAACCTACAACATAAGACAAATTCCCAGCTTTATGTAGCTTACATTTTAGAGGAGACAATAACTAAATGTGAGTGTGTGTGTGTGTGTGTGTGTGTGTGTGTGTGTGTGTGATACACTATCACATGTCAGGCAGAGAAAGTGCTTGCACACAACAAGTAAAGAAAGTGGGGCAAATAAATGACAATGGTTACGCTACAGACAGGAAAAACCACAGAAGGCCTCTATGAAGAGGTAGTGTTTGTTCAGAGACCTAGTAGAATGATATAAAAAATAAAACAATAAATCAACCTATGTTGGTAATACAAGTCAGGTTAACCTGTTTTAGTTTATTTGTATATGAGTAATTAAAATATCTAAAATGTTTTATTCCCTTAGGAGATTAGTATCACTGTAAGTATTGTTTATATATTAAACTTGCTATATATTCCCCTTCATGGCTGACAGAGGAATAAAGACAACTAAAACAAAATTGTATTCATACATTTGTGTGTCCGTTAAAATGTTTTCTCTCTCTCTGTGGTGGTGGAGAGGAAGACAACCTACATCCTGAGAGGGAATATTTGAAAATCAATATCTGATGAAAGAACTTGTATCCAGAATATATTAAGAGCTCTCAAAATGCAATAAGACAACATAATTAAAAACTAGACAAAATATATAGAGACAAAATAAATATATGCAAATGGCAAATAAGCATATAAAACGATGCTCAACATCATTTGTCATTACAGAAAAGCAAATTACAACCACAATGAGATACCACTACCTATTAGAAAAAAGACTCACAATGTCAAATGTAGAGAACAGAGCAATTAGAATTCTAATACAATGCTGATGAAAATATAAAAATGGCACTGGCACTTTGGAAACACCCTGGTTTTAAAAGTTAAATATATGTATACCATATGTCCAGACTTTCTATTTCTAAGAAATTATCAAGAGAAATTAAAGCAATGTACATATAAAACTTGTACATGAATATTTACAGCAGCAGCTTTGTAATGGCCAGAAACTGGAAATAATTCAATATCTATCTCCTGTCTATTAACACATGAACAAACTGTGGTATATCCATACAATAAAACAGTACTGTGCAATAAAAAGAAATGAACTGTTAATATAAAAAATTAAAACATTCAAAACAATTGTGCTGATAAAGCAGACAAAAATAGTGTATGCTATGTAATTCTAGAAAATGCACAGTAATCTATAATGCAGAAAGATTGGTGATTGCCTGGGGTAGGAAGATGAAGAAGGTAAAGAGGTATTACAAAGGAACCCAAGGAGAGCTGGGCATAGTAGTTAACACCTGTAATACCAGCACTCAGGAGAATGAGTCAGAAGGATTGGAACTTACAAGCCAGACTGAGCTTTATCAAAACCCTGTTTCAAAAAAGGAGTCCAAGATCAAAAAAAAAAAAAAAAAAAAGAGTCCAGGGGAACTGTATGTGTGAGGGTGGAAGAAATGTTATCTTCATTATGGTACTATTTCACAGATGTATACCTATGTCAAAAATTATGTGTTCTAAGTATGTTTACTATATTAAATTATGCTTCCCTTTTTTAAAAAAATCAGATACCTTTTTCTCTTTCCTTACAAATTAGTGGCAGTAACTAAACAAGTATGTTTTTATTGTTCTGTTCAAATTATTTGTACTTTCAAAGTACTTTCTTGGGTTATACACTAAATAAAATATTCTTTTTCATTTTTCACTTTGAAACCAGGATCAAATGTAGGAAAAGGTTGCTCAAGATCCCAGGTTTATTCATAGGCTATTCTTTTTTATATAGTTATATTTTCATACATGAGTATAAAATACATCCACCATATTCACCCTCCTTCACCGTTTCCTTATACTCTCCCCACTCCCACTGGTACCCATTCCTCAACAGGACCTGTTTTTACCTTCCTATCATTTCTGAAACATTGTTTTTAGTATATGATTGTAATCCAGGGGGTTCGTTGTGACATTTCCAAATATGTATGTTTTATACCCAAATTGGTTCATCCCCTCCATTTATTCTCCCTCCTACCCCATCCCCCTTCTTAAGGTAACTTCGACAGGTTTCAATGTTAACATTCATTCTTCTATAGAAAATACATCAACCATATTCACCCTCCCTTACTCTCTTCTTTTACCCTCTCCCTCCCTCTAGTGTCCTCCCCTCAATGTGACTTGTTTTACATACCTGTCCCTCATTGTTTAAGGGTCCATTTGTTTTTCAGTGAGATTTTGCCTTGGTATTTTACCTGTAAATATATTATGCTTAAATCAGTCTAACCCCTCCACTGCTCTTCAACCTTTTCCTCTTCCCCTGTATTATTTAAGTTTTTAGTGTTTCATTGTGACTTGTTTCTGAACAGATATGTTTCATTATTATTCACTATTATTCTTTTCCTTCTCCCTTAGTCTCCTCTAACAACCCCACTTTTAGAAACACATTCTATGTATTTATATGTATATATGACAATGTGCTTGTTTGTATTGCATCTATCTTCCATATATGAGAGAAAACCTGTGACCTTTGTCTTTCTGAACCTGGCTAACGTCACTTAAGATGTTCTCCAGTTCCATCCAGTTACCTTCAAATGACAAATTTCATTCTTTTTTATGGCTGAATAAAATCCTATTGTACATGAATACTGAATTTTTTTAATTCATTCATCAGTTGTAGGGCATCTGGGCTATTTCCATAGTTTGGCTATTATGAATAATGCCACACTAAACATGGGTGTGCGAGTGTCTTTATTATAACCTGACTCATATTCTTTCGGGTATATGCCTAAGAATGGTATTGCTGGATAATATGGCAGTTCTATTTTCAGTTTCTTGAGGAGCCTCCATACTGTTTTTCAGAGTGGTTGTGCTTATTTACATTCCCACCAAAATATATATATTTTAAAAATAGTCAAGTTACAGTTTCTCAACAAAGGTCACAAAACTTTATTCAACTATAATTAGAAACATAAATGATTACATAACCATAATGTCACTAATATGGGAGAAAACCTGCCATGAAGTCCATATAGTTGCATGAAGGTGAGATTTTCTTAGATCTCTTCAACAATTCATCACAACAGTTTTCCTAGGATCTTAACACACTTTAGCATCATTATTCTGAACTCTATCCATACAACTTCACTAAGTCAGTCTATCTGATGCTTAACTATAAAGTAGTTCTCCCATATCTATGGTTTCATTATCCATGGTTTCAGTTACTCATGGCCAACCACAATTCAAAAATATTAAATGAAAAATTATAGAAAATAAATAATTTGTAAGTTTTAAATTGCAGGTCATTCTGAGTGCATGATGAAATCACATCTCTCTCTGTACTCCCCTGCATATGAATCATCCCTTTGTCCACTGTATCCACACTGTATTCTACTATTAGTAACTTAGTAGTCTGCTGGATTATCAGATCTATTACGCAAATATGGCAGTGCCTGTGTTCAAGTAACCCTTATTTTACTTAATAACAGTCCCAAAGCAGGAGAATAGTGATACTAGAGCTGGGTGTGGTGATGCACAACTGAAATCCCAGCATTCCAGAAGCTCAAACAGGAGGATTGAGAGTTTGAGGCCAGTCTGGGCTACACAGAGTACTAGGGCAGCTTGAGCTACACAGTGAGCTCCTGCCTCAAGAAAAAAAAAAAATAGTGATGGTAGTGCCAATATGGATATGCCATGCCAACGAGATGCTATAAAATGCTTCCTTCAAATGAAAAGGTGAAAATTCTCAACTTAAAAAAAGTCCTGTGCTGAAATTGATAAGATATACAATAAGAACAAACCCTCTATCTGTGAAATAGTGAAGAAGGAAACATAAATTCATATTGTTGTACCTCAAACTGCAAAAATTACAGCCACATAGTGATGCCTGCTTAGTTAAGGTAAAAAAATGCAAGGCTTGGTATGAAGCTCAGTGAAAGAATAAATGCTTAGCATGTACAAGGCCTTGAGTTTAACCCCCAGCACCACAAAAGAAGAAAAAAGATGGGAAAGGCATTAAATTCATGTATATGTATAAGAAAAATATAGTATATATACAGCATTCAGAACATCTGCAGTTTCAGGCATCCACTAGGGGTCTTGGAATGTATCCCCCCACCTTGCCCCAATAAGGGAGGACTACTGTATTTCATAATGATAATAAAGTTAAAGGTGGTAATTGTTTATCATCTGGTCAAAGAGAGAAAGAGATTAAGTAAAGATTTTATTTGTCACTTGTTTAGAGTGTTAGGCTTAATAATTTTTGGTAAGATACAACAGTGACTACTACTGAATTAAAAACTCAAAATTTGGTTTCTTCCATTCAGTGGTGACACAGAACAATTCTATGTTTCATATAAAACACCCAAACCTTCAAACTAGTTATACCTGAAGAATAACAAATGAAATGGATTTTCAAGCATTTAACATGTTGTAGTTTCATACTTTAAAAATATTTCATAAGCAAAACATATACAGCTGTCTTCACCACTATCACCACCCTTCCCCCAAAAATGGAAACCAACTGCTCCAGCAGCTGTAGGCAATTGATAAAAACAGGAAGCAAAAAATAACTGAAACTGTAGAGTAAGCCGGGTTAGAGATTTGCAGAGAATATTCTTTCCCTCAAAAAAGTATACAGTTTTCTTGACATTATTTTATGGATAAGCATAGGATTTCCTTTGTATCAGATTATCAAATCAAGTATCAAATTTGCTTTGATTCTAGTTTAAAAATTAGTGGCCTTGGGCTGTTGGAGTGGTTCAAGTGGTAGAGCCCCCGCCTAGCAAGTGTGAGGCCCTGAGTTCAGGCCTCAGTACTGCCTAAAAAAATAGAATAAGTGGCACTGCCAGGTGTGGTGATAACATGCCTGTAATCCCAGCACTCAGGAGGCCAAGGCAGGAGGATCTCCAGTTTGAGACTATCCTGGATTAAAAAATGTTTTAAATTTTAAAAATTAAAATGCTGATGGTCACACATAGTAAGATCAGTTTTTGCTTTGGTTTTAAAACAGGGTGTTGCTTTCCCAGATTGGCCTTAAACTCGTGATCCTTTCTCAGCCTCCCAAATGCTGAGATTACAGGCATGCACCATCACAAGTGGTAAAACCACTACTTTTAAACTACAATCAAAGCAAATTTGATACATGATTTGATATATGACACAAAGGAAATCCCATACTTACCCATGATATAATGTCAAGAAAACTATAATAATTATGTTCTACAAGCATTATCATTTCATGCAGAAAATGATAAAAGTATGTAAATAGCAATCAGAATTTATTTTCATGACAAGTCTGCATTATGACAAAAATGTAATGCTGTCAATGTTATACTTTAGCAAAGGTTCTTTTACCATGCCATTTAAAATGTGAGGAGGAATTTGTAAACTAAAGCTTGTTTTGCTACTAAAAAAAAAAAAAAAAAAAGTGAGGAGGAAGTGCACTTGTTCAAAGGACACTACAAGAATGTAGGGAATTATCACAATGAAAATCCCTTGTATTATTAACGTATGCTAATTCAAAAATAATTTGCTTGGAAAGTAAGAACACTAACAATATGTAGCACATATCTGTTAGGTGAAGTATTTGTGGGGGGAGGGTTATTACTGGGGTTTGAAGCCTTGTTTGCTAGACAGGCACTCTACAATTGAGTCAAACTTTCAATCCTTAAGACAAAGTATTTAACACACAGAGTTCTGAATCAAATACTCACTTTTCAATGCAATAAGTATGTTAATATACTTAACAGGGTCATGATAACAGTAAGTAAATGCCAGCTCTGGTGGCTCACACATGGAATTCTAGCTACTCAGGAGGCAGAGATCAGGAGGATTGCAGTTCAAAATCAGCCTGGGCAAATAGTTCGCAAGACCCTATCTGAAAAAGACCATCACAAAAAAGGGCTGGTGGAGTGGCTCAAGCTGTAGGTCCTGAATTCAAGCCCCAGTACCACAAACACACCCACACACATACATATATGAACATTCACTGTTTTACTTTATACCTCATTGAAAATTTTTAATTTTGTATTTGGCATATAAAACTTGGGACTTTTGCAGGATACCAGTGGTTCATGCCTGCAATCCTAGCTACTTGGGTGGCAAAGATCAGGAGGATCACAGCTCAAGACCGGCCTAGACAAAATAGTTTGTGAGACCCTATCTCGAAAATACCCAACACAAAACAGGGCTGATGGAGTGGCTCACGTGGTAGAGTACCTGCTTAGCAAGTGTGAGGCCCTGAGTTCAAGACCCATACAGATCAAAAAAAAAAAAAAAAAAAAAGGGGTTACTAGGACTTTTGCCTAGCAAGCTCAAAGCCCTGAGATCAAACCCCAGTAACACAAAAAACAAAACAAAACCAAAAAACACCTGAACTTATACAGTTTATAATTAAACATCCCCATTCCAAGAGAAGTGCTGTGAACTTAAATGGAAAAGATAATTCTGAATAATTTCTTCAAATTTCTGAAACTTTGATCTTAGTGCTACACCCTTCATTCAAATGCCTTGTGTTGTATTAAGCAGTCACAGTTTATACATAACCCTTGATAATATTAATCTTTGACAGATGATCAAGTAAAAACCAGAAAGTATAGTGGTTAGCCAGTTGGTTTTATCATTATATCGTGGTTACGGGTCTCCTGTGTAACATAGCCACAAAACAACTCATTTACAAATACTTATTCCCTTAAAAACAAGTCAGATGCAAGTTTCCTTTAATTAGTTTACTAATTCCACTGAAAAACTAATTCCACATATCTGTAATGTTAACTCAAAAACAAACTATAGTTTATTCTTTGTTTTTAGAGATGCAGTCTCACTGTGTTGCCCAGGCTGGCCTCCAATTCTAAAGGCAAGCAATCCTGTTCAGTCTCCTGAGTAGCTGGGAACACACCACCTAGCTAAGCTCTAAACTATGGCTTTTAAAGTATCTTTGTAACCTTTGAGCCTTCTAATCACAAAAGTAGCATATGGGTATATTTTTATATACCCATAAAAATATTTTAAGATAAAGGAATGTCAATTTTTCCAGAAAAGGAAGACTCCTAAAAACTGTGTTGTATTTGAATTGTGTTAAATATTTGCCTAGTTCTCAATTCTTAGATAGTTTATGTCAAACAGCTTTTAGATTGAAGCGAGGGCTGTAAGCACACTAGGCAAAAGTTCTACCACTGAGTTACACCCCCAGCCCACCCTGTTTTTCATTTCATTATTTTCAGTTCTTTAAATCATTTGTCCCAAGCTATACTAC